AATAGCGGTGCCACCTTTAGCGGCGACACCCCTGGAGGGAAAAGAAAGCGCGTGTTTTAGGAGTTTACAACCGTAGGATTGAATAATGATCGAACGGACGTGGATTATTTCACGCGGATCGCCACTGTGTTAGCAATAGCAGCGACACCTTTAGCGGCGACGCCAAGCAATAGCGGCAACATGTAACGCGTCAATTACATGTCGCCGCTATTGCTTGGCGTTGCTGTTATTGCTAACATTTCTTGTAGTGACACCTCCATTCTCTTTTCTCATAATCTCACAAATCCACACCTTTTTCTATTCATCGACAATACATTACTAGGTCAATCGCCCCCCCCCCCCCTTCTTCATGTTCTCGATCGATCACAACCTCATTCTTCTCTCCTTTTCTTTTGTGTCTGTATATATAGTTTGATGATAGGGAGAAGTTGTGGCTTTCAATTCCCTCTTTAAAAATCTCAATCACATATATATGTATGGTGAGATTAGGATTGCATGAGGAAGAAGATGAACATTAATCGAGAAGGTTATGGTGATTGTGTCCTTGTAAATTGATGAACTTTGCCTTAACAATGGTGGAATGTAAGCTAACTAGTATTTTGTAGTTTTTTTGTTTGGAAGATTTTAAGATCGGTTTTATGTAATAAGTTTCAATCATTTTAGTTTTTGTACAATTCTTGTAAAGCAAAATTGTTTTACAAAAAAAAATATGGTTTAAAATACTCAAATTGATGAAATCATCATTTATGTACAGAACAGGGAATGTTGTGATGAAATCATCCATGGTAAAATTGTATGTGTATATCAAGCCAGTGGTCTACACAAAAGTTGTAAATCTTTAATTTCTTTATTTTTACTTCATGTTGAATGTTTTTATAAAAAATGTAATGTTATAAGTTAAATGGTAAATTATTATAAAAAAAATTGTTTGAGGATAATAAAGTCATTTTGCATAGTTACTTAGATATAAATCAAACAATAAGTTTTAGTCAAAAGTTAATTCAGTCATAACTTTTAATCTAATCAACTCTGACCCAATTAGCAACTATTAAACGTCTATTTAATTATTAAATATGTGTGTATGTGCTTCTCAATTTTTTTTTGTGTATTTTTAGTGTTTGTAAAGGTGAATGTGAGCGGTTTAAGTTGTAGAGGAAAAATAATGATAGAGAGCTCGTGGGGTGGATAGAATTCATTTTGTCTTTTAATTATCTAATATTCAAAAACATAAAAATAATGTAAAAAAGAAATTAAAAGTGCAATATAGCCTTTTTAAATTTGACATGGACCATAACCACAAAAAAATATCTTTTTAGACTGTCCATACAAGTTCAAAAAAATTTGGACCTTATCCATACTTTTTTAGTAACTACGTAAACTAAATTGTAGTTTAGTCTAAAACCAGTTTTCTTTATCTTATTTTATTTTTAAATGTATACTATAATACAAAACCACTCATTATGTTTATCAATTCTCTATTTATAGTTTTATGATTTTATTAGTTATTTAGAATTCACAGTATGAGTATTTTAAATGTTTTTTTAGGGGGGGGGGGGGGGGGTGAAGTGAAAATCAAACGGTCGTTGTGAGTAACACAATTTAAAAGGGGAAGTCAGGATGAAAGTAGTTGGAAAATCAAGCTTTTATTAATAACAAAAATATTAAAAATTATATTCATTTTCATATAACTTTTATACAATGTAAATATACAATGTAAATATATAAGAAATTAAATTTTATAAAATATTTATTAACCAAAATTATTTTTATTCTAAATTTTTGTTATTGATTGTAATTTTTTACTTTTATATTAATTTTACTGAGTTTTCAACGGACATTTCACTTGTTTTTTATTTAAAAAGATTAAGTTATTATATATTTTGATTGGATTAAAATATTATCTTAATAATACAATTATTCTAACTCCCAACTAATGATTATTATCAATTACAAGTATAAGTATAGCGCTGGGACAAATATTGCTTTTGGCGACGTCAAAAATCCACGACCAATTAGACAATTAGGCTGTGTTTGGCGTGCCACAGCTAGCTGATAAACTATCTTATTTTTCGAGTTTTTTTATGTTGTTGTGTTTGGTAAGCCAAAAAATAGCTTATAAGCTAGCTTTTTGAAAAGCTACTTAGACTAACTTTTTTGGAGCTTTTTTAAAATTTTCCAAATACACCTTTTAATTAATTATAGAAACACATACTCTTACATGTCGTTTTATGTAATTTTATATATATTTCAACTAGCTTTTCAACTAGTTTTTCCAAACGTTATTTTTTATCAGCTAGCTTTTTATTTAACAGCTAGCTTTTCAGATATCAGCTTTTCAGCTAGCAGCTAGCTTTTCAGCTAGTCCGCCAAACATAACCTTAGCTGGTTTCTATGACTTTTTTTTTGTGAAAATATAATAATATGAGACTATTTCGTAAATTAACCAAAAATATTAGAACTTTTATTAAAAAAAACACTGCTCTTTTCCTTGTTTGTTTATAACTTTCAAGTAAACTTCTTATACTTTATAAAAATACTGGTTAAGTTATCGTTGCAACACATCTTTAAAAGATTTTGTATAATTATGTTACTCTGTTTTAAAATCTTAAATAAATCTACTTCAACCTAACTGATATTGCCAAAAAAGTGTTACAAAATTCGTAGCAATTAGCAAACACTAAATGGTCGAAAGGTCTACATTATGCTTATACGATTGGCGCATCAATTAACCCACAACGTAAATTGATTACTTACGTTTGTTTGTAACATGTATGGCAACGAAGTAATAATCTTCTTTTATGAATTGCAATCTTTTTTGTAATAATGAATCTAAATAAATAACGAAATCAAGTACTCGGTTCCGATGGTTCCGGACCGGTTCCAAAAATTCATGAACCAATGTGACCGGTTCGGTCCCAGTCCCATTAATCAAATAATTGTTGGTTCCAGCTTCGGTTTTTGGTTCCTCTCAAATTAGGTTGGAACCCGCCTATAGTCATCATTAATTTAACTGTTAGTTATTAAAGGTATAGATTAAAGTACTAAATCATGCAATAAACCAATGACTTCCAGCCTAGCTGGGAAGAGGTACCAGGTTTAATACCCACGTGGGGTCAGAGGTCGGGAGTTCAATCCCTGCAAAATCCAATTTGGTTGCCTCTTAAACTTGTGCCACATGTGAGGAAATTTTTCCTGGAAACTCCTATGGGGGCTGGGTTTGCCCTGTAAAGGTGCTCGTTGAAATATGCGAGTAGGCTTCCGTTTAATCATTTGACGTTTCCAAAAAATCATGCAATAAAATTAAGACAAAACTATTAAAATGGTCCCTGTGGTTTAAAAAAGATCACAAACTTAGTCTTTGTTATTTTTTTTTGATGAACATGGTCCTTATGGTTTCCAAAACTTACGTGAATGACCCTTTCTGCCCACGTTATTACTGTTCACCCGTTAGTGTGATGATATTTTGGTCTTTTCAAATAGCAAAGACTGAGTTTGTGACTATGGGTAAACCATAGGAACCATTTATGTAATTTTTTTATATTTTATGTTTATAAGTTTGTGACTTTTCCACCCTTTTACTTTTGTTAAATATCACTTTGAACCCTTCACTTTGAACTTTGAAAAATGTTACTTTCACCCCTCTATTTTCTAAATTTTTGTGTTTAACCCTGTATTATATGTAATTTGATTTTTATTAATAACTTACATTCGTTAACCTAAAAAAAACTATTTTTACGTGTTTATTTTTATATATTTGTTGTTATAATCGTAGATGGTTAGCGTTTCGACTTTAATTTAAAACTTTCTTTCGTTAATTTTTTTTTAAAAAAGCACATGTTTTTTTTTTATAAATTTGTCTGTTTAAATTCGAGTTTGTCTATGTTTCACCGTAATTTTTTTTATGTTTTTGTGTTTAACTTTATGTACGTTTCTTACGTATGAGACATGTCACATAATAACTTTCGTTTGTTAATTTAAAAAAAGATACATATTGTATTCGAGTTTGTCATCCCTAATTTAACTGTTAGCTATTAGCGGTATAGATTAAAGGACTAATCATGCAATAACATTAAACCATGATGACCATCAATATATTGTTTTTCAATGTTGTCCTTAAAAATGACTTTTTAGAAACCATAGGGACCAGTTTTGAAAATTTGTCAAAAACATAAAATGCTTAATTACAGCTGTGTTAAGAAAGATTTCATCATACGTCATTCTCGGGATTCTCTCATTATGCAAGCAGCCCCAGCCCCAGCCCCAAGTTACCTTTTATAGCCTCTTGGAGAAGGTAGCTTTGACAGCGTATTTCATGACTGATTCATTCCGATTACATCTTTGGTAAACAGTAGAATAATACGTACATTGAAATTTTAGCTCAAAAATCACTTAAACGATTTGCAATTTCATTTGTTCTTGTTTAATCTTAGGTTTCGTTTTCAACTGATACATAAATTAGTTCATGAAATCGAAGAGTTTCATATTGATCTACTTGGTTGCTTGGTGCATTGCGTTACTTCCTTAGCTTCTGAACTTGAAATGTCATCGTTTACTCTTCACATAACAAGGAAGGAAATGCTTAAATCCTAGGAGCCTGAGAGAAATCACAAATGATTCTCATTATGCATGACTTACCTGTATAGTAGAACGATAACATACGAGATGATATCCACTCCGAAATACTTGGTGAATATATTAACATTATGTATATTGGTTTTGAGCTGTGCATTTTAATGGTGGTATGATGCTTTTGTGCATTGAATACTTGTACTGTATAACAGAGCAATGCATATTGGGACAAATTTTTGATTATTCTACTTTTGAGCCCTAGATTTGGTGATGAATTAACTGATAATGTAATTCGTTCGTGTTATTTCGTTGAATGAGATATTATTATTTCATTAATAGAGCTTCGTTATTCCCTGTTCTGACATAGATTCGGATTTATTTAAAAGATTATCATCTGCTGCAGAGTCAAATATCCTGCAACTTGTGTGCAAATGGTAAGTTGATATATTGATTTGCTCTTGATTCTTCGAATGATAATATTCAGAGCCTTTTTATCGAACTTGATAACAACAGATGTTCAAATCTAGGGCTTCATTAGCTATTTGGTGGGTCCTATCAAAGATGAAGTTATGCCAAAAAGAAAGTAAAGATGGGACCCACAAAACATAGCGTCTAAAATCGAGGGAAATACTATTAACAAACTAAACCTAACAAATCTAAACATTTACTTTTATATTTGGAAATAGCCAAAATGCACATATACTATTTAAGAAACTCAGCTTGTAACATTTATTACTTTTATGCAGGATGACATTTCTTCATCTGGAGGAAGCCACAACATTGATTGGAATACTGATGATGAGCTGGAGATAGCTAATATATCATCATCATCATCATCATCATCATCTATGAGTACTAACAGAAATGTTTTATCCAAATTCGAATTCGGGGAGGTAGTTTATAATTCCATATAATTAACACCATGTCACACATGAGATGTGATTGTGATTTGTGAAGTGGGTTACAAATAGCTTCGATAAAATTAATTGTATTTTCTTTATTTGATTAATGCAGTCATGTTCTTCTAGTAATCATTCCTCTAAGCTACTTGAGTTTATAGAAATGGGATTTTGTGAAGCAATAGTGACCAAAGTCATAGCAGAAATTGGTAATAATGCGTCATTGAATTCCATCTATGTTCATGTTTTTTTCTTTTGTATATCATAATTATAATCTTCTTTCATTTTCAGGAGAAAACGATAGTGATTCCATACTAGACACATTACTCACGTATTCTGTGAGTTTTGCTTTTGTTCTTTCTGTAATATGGTTACATGGATATGTTCCAAGACCCTGTTTTCTTTTTGACTTAATGAGCTTAATGAGTTAAGCACTTAATGTGGACAGCTATACATAGATGTTTCTTTTTTGACTTAATAACCTTTTTTTCCTCCCAATTTTTCTCATATTAAATTGTTGCAGACTCTTGATGAGATTCCCCACCATGAACACGAACTCAGTGATCCATGTTTGAAGCCTGAAATCGATTTAGATACTGACTTCTCAGATCTTGATGACAATTGTAGTGATGTAAGTCCTCCTTTCGTTTTGTGTAGATAACTTATGAACTTAGTGATCCTGTTTTCTTAACATTTTATTTATTCAAAAGAGAACTATATTATGTAATCACTAGCTTCTTCCATGTTTTCCAGGAAGACATTAATGAATCTGTTGAAAAGGATGATCCATTGGTGTGCCTAATTGATATGGGCTACTCATGTGAAGAAGCTTCTGCTGCTATTACCAGATGTGGTGATTATATTGTCTTCTCAAAACCTATAAATACAATACACTAGGATTACTTACATGTGTTCATTCTATATAAATAGGATCATAAAAATGAAATTGTCGTTAAACTTGTAGGAAGAGATGTACAACTATCAGAGCTCATAGATTTCATTACTGCTGCTCATATATCAAAAGAAGCCGATGAAGAATCTGACGCCAGTGCATTTGGATCCTGCTCACGTCCAAAAAACAAGAAGAAGTCTCGTAAAGAGATTTTCTGGATGAAAAGAAAAAATCTCGAAAAAAAACCAAAAAGAAAAAGAAACGATGAAGGTGAAGATGAACACGTCCTTCACCTTCCTAATCCAATGACAGGATTTGGAATTCCATACGAACCATTTCATAATATTCACAGAACGATTCCCGATGCAGCCATTGGTCCACCATATTTTTACTTCGAGAATGTCGCTTTCACGCCAAAAGGTTCATGGAACGAAATCAAGCGTAATCTCTACGAAATCGAACCTGAATTCGTCGATTCAAAATTCTTCTGTGCAGCAGCTAGAAAGCGAGGTTACATCCATAACCTTCCGTTAACAAACAGATCCCCAATTCAACCGCTTCCCCCTCGCACACTTTCCGAAGCTCTTCCTTCTACTAAACAATGGTGGCCTTCATGGGACAAAAGAGAACAATTGAATTGCATACTTACATGTAGAGGAAGCGCCAAACTCACGAATCGTATCAAATTAGCCCTAGAAAATTCGAATTCGAATCCCAAAGGTGAGTGCGAGTGCGAGCCTTCTGAACAAGTGAAGAAATTCGTTATCAATCAATGCAAGAAATGGAACATGGTTTGGACAGGGAAGACGAAGGTGGCGCCACTTGAGCCTGATGAGATCGAGTTAATCATGGGGTTCCCGATCTACCATACACGTGGAGAAAGCACAGCCGAAAGATTCAAAGGCCTCGGGAATGCTTTTCAGGTTAACTTTTTCGATATTATAATTTTAGTAATCATGTTTAATTAATATGTTGATTATGGATTAACGAATTTGTTGTGATTAGGTTGATACAGTTGCTTACCATTTGTCTGTGTTAAAGAAGTTGTACCCTAACGGAATGAATGTTCTTTCGCTTTTCTCCGGGATTGGTGGGGCCGAAGTTGCTTTACACAGGCTTGGGATTCGGATGAAGAATGTGGTTTCGGTTGAGAAGTCTGTGGTTTGTAGGAAGATTCTTCGGGGTTGGTGGGAACAAACAAACCAAAAAGAGAATTTGATACACGTGTCGGATGTTAAAGATGTGACAGTTGATAAGTTAGAGAAGTGGATTGGGTGTTTTGGAGGGTTTGATCTTGTGATTGGAGGGAGTCCGTGTAATAATCTTTCTGGTGGTAATAGGTGGACACGTGATGGACTTGATGGGGAAATACTCTTCGCTTTTCTACCACTATCCTCGTATACTTAAAGAGGTGAAGTCTCTTATGAATAGAATTTAGACATGGCGATTTGTAATAAGATTTTTATTTTTCGGTAAGTGGGTCTCGATGTCTTGCTTTTATTTCTGAGCTTTGTCGAGTGTAAATGGTGAAAACGAACACGTGATGCCTTACGATTTTCATTTTCAGGCTATCGTATTTTTGGTAAACTCAAAATAGTATATACATATTTGTTTTAGGGAAGTTGTAACTTGTAATTGTTAAGTTTGTTGGCAGATTCAAGTGTTATGACAAGTAGATCATAAGATGATAAGAAAGAAATTAAGACCGAGATAAGCATTAGGCTTTCCAGTATACATACCACTCCCTTGTCATGGTGATTACCACGAGCCATGACAACCAACCCTTTATCGCGTGATGGAGTCTTAGCATGGAGGTGTGTGGCCTCAACCAGTGTCTCACGGAAAGTCAAGCAAAAAATCTAACTGTTTGGCATTTATTTGATTCTTTAACTTGTTTTTATGTTTAAATTAACCTTATAAATACTCTTAAATTTTATAGACTTTTAACACAAACATTTCGTTCTTTTATTCCCATAAACATTCTATAAAACAATTGAAAGAATGGTTTTTCTTCAACTGCATCACCATTAAAAAATGAAATATTTTTCACCACATTCTTTCAAGTGGCAAGTATCTTTCTTGATCAAGAAGCAAAAAGTGTAGATGTTAGAAGGATTAGAAGTGTAATATACAAAGATCATAAATTTGCACACAATTTTCTGATATGTGATTACTTTGTATATGATTGTTTGTACGACGATTTGAATAGTTCCGTCTGAGTAGACAATTATTCTTACTATAATTAACGATTTAATGACGAATTACGATTTCTTTCATTTCAAACTGGATGCCATAAGCAGACATGGTTTTACTATAATACAAAAGTGTATAACTGCAATTTGGCTTTTGGCATACGACATCACTAATGTCGCTAAAAATGAATATTGGGAGATGTCTAAGAGAATGATTTTTGTGAATACGTTATCGAGCTTTATGGAAAAATATATTTGTCGAGGCCTACTAGAAGCAATGTTGAACAATTGTTTGTGGCATATAAAGTAGCACACGGTTTCCAGTATTGCTTTGAAGCATTGATTCTCTACATTGGGCTTGGGAAAACAGTCCAAATAGATGACAGTGTCAATTCACATGATGTGATCATCGAATCCCTACAGTTATACCGGTAGCAATGGTGTCACAATATCTATGATTTTGGCATGCACACTTTGGTGTTGCCGGGTCCAAAAATGATATAAATGTTATTAATCAATCGTTGATATTCAATGATATTATAACATTGAATAACACCCGATTTTCTGTTTAAAGTGAATTTAAACCAATACAAGCATGAGTATTACCTAAATAATGTGATATATCTGATTATGCTACATTTATCAAATCGTAGACATATCCACAAGTTGAAAAACAAAAATTGTTCAAGGCAATGCAAGAATTAGCAAGAAAGGATGTGAGACGGGTTTTGACCCTATATGGTATTGTTGATACAAGAAATTGACCCTCGACAGCTAAGAAGGACCCGAAGACTCCAATGCCTTTGTGAACCGGAGAGGATTCTGCTGAAGACTGTTTGTCATCTTTTGGAGCCCGAAGACGAGATGAAGACCCGAAGACACCTGTGAACATGAAGATTGTAACAAGTGATCTTTACTGACGATGTGTGTAAACTTAGTATTATCCGGTGTACCCTTCTGTGTCATCGAAGTCAGTCAATTTATAATTGTTTAACATTTCCTTATAAGTTTTGGACCTCTATAAATAGAGAGTTCCACTTCATGTTTATGTACCAATTCTGAACTTATCAATATGAGATCTCTTCATCTCTATACTATATTCCCGTGCGGAAATGGGAAGATATCACTATGGATTTCATCACGAAGCTTCCCAGGACCGAACATGGAGTAGATTCGATATGGGTCATCGTGGATCGGTTGACCAAGAGTGCTCATTTCATCCCGATCCAGGATAGTATATCGGTTGAGAAGCTAGCCGAGATCTACGTACGTGAGGCGGTGGCACGTCATGGAGTGCCGGTTTCGGTTGTGTCAGACCGAGATGTTCGTTTCACTTCCATATTTTGGAAGCGGTTCCATTACGAGATGGGTACTCGTCTTCACTTTAGTACCGCTTTCCACCCTCAGACTGACGGACAGAGTGAGAGGACGATTCAGACTCTAGAGGACATGTTGCTTGCGTGCGTATTGCATTTTGGAGGTAGTTGGGATACGTATCTTTCGTTAGCGGAATTTTCGTATAACAACAACTACCACGCTAGAATAGATAAACCTCCCTTCGAGATGCTCTACGGGAGGAAGTGCAGGACCCCAATATGTTGGGGCGAGGTCGGTCAGAGAGTCATGGGGAGTACCAAGGTGGTACTCAAGACCACTGAGAAGATTCAGCAGGTCCGGAGTAGGCTTCAAACTGCTCAGAGTCGGCAGAAAAGCTATGCCGACAAGTGACGGTTAGACTTGCAGTTTCAGGTGGGCGACATGGTTCTCCTGAAGGTGTCACCTTGGAAAGGTGTCATCCAGTTCAGGAAGCGGGGCAAGCTGGGTCCCAGGTACATCGGTCCATTCAGGGTTTTGGATCGGGTGGGCCGGGTTACTTATCGTTTAGATCTTCCAGTAGAGCTCAGCCAGATCGACAACACCTTTCATATCTCCCAGTTGCGGAAGTGCTTAGTGGATGACTCCGTAGTTGTGCCCTTAGAGGATATTCAGGTGGACGAACGCCTGAACTACATTGAGAGACCCGTTACGATTCTAGATCAGAAGACAAAAAACTTGAGGAACAAGGTTGTGCAGCTGGTAAAGGTGCAGTGGATGCACCACAAGGGGCCAGAATGGACTTGGGAGCTAGAGGAGGAGATGAGAGAGCATTATCCAAAGATATTTGAGACAACAGACTTCGAGGACGAAGTCTGAGACAAGTGGGGGAGAATTGTAACGCCTGGTTCCTGGTATGTATTTAAATTATAATTGTTCATTTTTACAGAGCAACTCGACGAGTTGGAGGCCCCAAACTCGTCAAGTAGAGATTAGATGAGACGCGGGTTTAAGTGACCTACTCGACGAGTTGAGAGCCCTCAACTCGACGAGTAGGCTGGCAGGGGTGAAACCCTAATTTCGGGGTTTTACACCCTATTTAATCATCTTAATCCCCTCATGCCAGTCTCATTTCCAGCCTCCAAGTCCCAAACCCTAGATCTCGAAACCCTAATGCATTGTGTGAGCTTGTGAGTCATTTTTGAGAGAAATCTTGTGTGTATGAAGCTTGTGGAAGAAGGAGAAGCTTGAGGACTCAAGAAGGAGATTATAGATCCAACAACTTCATTTCATTCTTAGCATTTTCTGGTAAGCAAGTGTCAAACTTGCTTAATGATTACTTGGATCTCTTCTCTATCACTTTTATTGGGTTTTTGGTCCAACTAGCATGATCCTTGGGAAATGGACGTCCCAAGTGAGTAAACCTCCAGATCTAGGACCTTAAAAGGCTTTCATGGCATAAAGGTGCAAACTTTATGGCCATTGAAGCCCCATGCAAGCTCTAGGATGTCATTTTGGCCTTTTAAGCTCCAAAAGGCCATGCATGGGGAGAAAGTCAGAGACTTTACGTGTTTATGTAGTGTCTAGGGTCTGGATCTCAGTTTGTATGCCTTATATTGAAGTTTTAATGGCTTTTGGAGTTGGATCTAAGCCATTTTGAGTTAGGGTTAGGACTCATTTCTTCTAGGATGGGTCTTAACGGGTAAAGTTGGAAACTTTACCTTCCTAGGAATGTTTTCAACCTAGATATGGAATATGGGACTCAGATTCGAAGGAATAATGGCTTAATACATTAAGAAAGCTTAACAGACTGAAGAACTCGACGATTTCATGGAGGAACTCGACGAGTTGGGTTGGGGTGTCCCGATTCTGTTGATAGGAGAAACTCGACAAGTTCATGAAAGAACTCGACGGGTTGGATCGTGATTTCAGGGTTTATGATTTATGGAACTTGGCGAGTTGATGGACCAATTCGGTGAGTTGAGTCAACCTAGAATGTTGACTTTGATTTTGACTTTGACCAAGGTTGACCCATGAAGGGGGTTTTGAGTATGGAATGATAACTAAGAGGTTGTTATGTATAGGGTGTGAGTAGAGCCGGGTGCGGAGCAGAGCAATTTCAGCTATTCACACGACATTAAGGTGAGTTTCCTCCTGTATGAACGGGTCGAAGGCATCAATGTCAGCCCGTGTATGTATGCTAGTATGTTCCGGACCAAGGTCCGATGTTGGGCAGTGCCCGATGTAGGTTTATATGTTTCCGGACTTCGGTCCGATGTCGGGGAAAGCCCGAGGAATGTTTGTATGCTTGATGTCTTCGTGCTTGCATGTGATTGTTATATGTTCCGGACTTCAGTCCGATGTCGGGGAAAGCCCGAGGAATGTTTATATGTTATGTTATATGTTTCCGAATTTCGGTCCGATGCCGGGCGGGGCCCGAATAATGTTTATATGTTTATGTTATGTGATTATGTTTATATGTATTTGTTGATATGTTATATGTATACCGGATTTCCGTCCGATGCCGTGCGGGGCCCGATGCCGGATTTCGGTCCAATGCCGGGCGGGGCCATCAAGGCCCATGTTATGTTATTATGTGATTATGTGATTATGTGTATGGTATGTGGTAGTTTGGGGAGACTCACTAAGCTTCGTGCTTACAGTTTTTAGTTTTGGTTTTAGGTACTTCCGGTAGCAAGGGGAAGAGCTCGGGATGACTGCAGTGTACACACCATTTTATTTAGCGTGGGATGTTTTACTCTGATATATTGACATGTGTTTTGATATGATACTCTGATTTGATACTATGACTTATGTTTTTGGATGGAATGATTTTGATAACTATGTTTTACTTAATAATTAAAAACGAAATTTTTGGACCGTATTTTTGGGATGTTACAA